CATAGTATGGTCATTGAGCTGCATTCTGATGCAATTTCATTGCAATAGTCTACAGCTGCGTTTGAACTAAATTGAGTGATTTTCAGATTCGAAAATGCAATATTGGTGGTGGTGGCGGCGCTGGTGGCCGGTATTGAAAAATAAATTCGATTTGAGCGCGCTGGTATGTATGTATGTACATTAGGGTGGTCCAAAAATGCATGTGAAAAAGTAAAGTCGGAATTGTTATGCTTTCACCCGCCAGGATTGTTCTATAGCAAAAAAATTAAAATTAGTAAATAGAAAAATATTGATTTTTTTTACTTATTCTGCACCATTTCTACGAAAAAATTTATTTTTCCCATATAAAAATACATGGAAGACTTTGAGCGCTTTGAGCGACCTCTAAATATATTTTGATTTCAAAATAGAAAAATTGGGGTATACTTTTTTTCTATATTGAATAGTCCTAGGGGGTGAGAGCATTACGATTCCGACTTTACTGTTTTTGGACCACCCTAATGCACATAGGTGCTGAGCAGGGCGGTGGCTGACAGGCGTACAATTACACCAACACTGTAAACGCTCCAGTGCCATAACACTATGCTATACATACATATGTACGTATCTACATATACATATATGAGTTGCTAGTATCATTTCAGTTGTTGTTGCACCGGCTTATGCGCTGATAGTAGTCTTCTAACCGCTCGGCATTCTTCCTGTTACCGTTGATATGTCGTTTTTAGATGGTAACTGCTATACATATTTTGTTTTTACACATTCTTGTTGGACTTATTGTTGTTGCATTATTTTGTGCTGCAGCAAGTCCGACCGATCTTTTGCTATAAAAGTTGGCTTATTTTCGAATTCCATATCAAAATCAAATCAACACTTCTTGAGTGTGCTACCGCAGTATAGCAAATCCTTTTCCTGCACCTCTCAAATCCTTTTTGGATCTAATCAACAAATATGAAGGTAATTCAAGGAATTGCTTGCGGAATTCTAATTACATTGAGCCGTTGTGGTTTTGAAAAGTGTCAAACAAATGAAAATATTATGTTCGAGCGGTATTTGGAATACTTAAAAATGAAAAAAAATAAATAAGTTTAATTAAATTAAAAAAAATGTCTTATTTTTCTCACCAAAACTTCTATTTATTCTTTCGCTCTTCCAGTTCGTCATTGCCGTAGTCATGTTGGCTTTCGCCGTTGTTGCTGTACACTCATCCCTGTTGGGCGCTCAGATTTCACCTGGAGTTTCTTACGTGGCACCCCCATTACTCGGTGGACTTGGCCCATTGAGTATTCCCGGTCTGTTGGGTGGCATACCTGGCATCTCGCTAAGCCAGGGACCATTGGGCGGCGTGCCCGGTATATTGGGCGGCGTGCCCGGTATATTGGGTGGCATACCCGGCATCTCGCTAAGCCAGGGACCGTTGGGCGGCGTGCCCGGTATATTGGGTGGCATTCCCGGCATCTCGCTCAGCCAGGGACCATTGGGTGCTGCCATCGCTAGTCCTATCGCCTTGGGTGGTGGACCAGGTGTTTATGTGGCAAAGACCCGTGGTGCTATCCATACCGCCCCATTGGAAGGACACATTAACTCGGCGACCTCTGTGAATTTGGCACCAGCACCAGGCACCTTGTAAGCATCTCGTACGGCATCATCTCATCGCTCCACCGAGACCACAACGATTCTATACACACCTATACGGATTTTAAATACAATCAAGAGATTGCAATGTATAAACTCTTTCTTATTGATATCGACATCCCGTTTTCATTATCCGCAACCTCTGATCAGACTAGTTGTTTTATTAAAAGCATATCTATGATTTTTACATTAAATAAATAATATACCTACCATGTGATTGTATTGTACACACACATATATAAATTTATTGTTATTTCCTTGTTTACTTCTTATATGTATGTATGTTGTAAAGGATTTCAACTGTCTTAAATATTGGGTTTAGCAAAATAAGGACGAATTTCTATTTCCGAATTCTTAATCCGGAAATACACTTCTGTTCGTCTGACTAAGATCAGACCATCACATATTATGTTCTCTGTAATCTCACCTCCTTTAAGGTAGATTCACGTCGCTTAAGCTATTTAACAACCTATTAAATAAGAGGTGTGGCGACAATTTTAATAAAAAAAGGAGAAGTCTGTCAACTAACCACAATAACGAGTCAGGTAATCTCGACAGCTAAAATTTTTGGTGAAAAACTGCCAATCCTGTCTGTCGAGAATTTTATCAACACCGTTGAAGTTAGAGTTTCGAGAGCTTCAGAGAATACAGAGAATATGCTAAACTAGCTTGGACATATGTATACCTTCTCATCGGTAATGCAGTCACCAAACGAATTTAATAAGAAATTATTTGAATTAATACGGTGACTGCATTACGGATTAACCGACAAGGTGGATGTCCATGCTGGTTTTGCATGTTCTTTTTGTTCAACGCTCCCTGAGCAAACAAATACGCAAACAAAGCAGCCTGATTCCTTTATCCGCGGAAGCCGAGTGGTGAGAGCTGCATACTTACGGTGACCATAAATATATTTTCAAAATGCAGGACAATTTTTCAAAAAAATTACCTACATATAATTGAGCAGTATAAAAATAACAAAAATATACNAAATGCAGGACAATTTTTCAAAAAATTTACCTACATATAATTGCGCAGTATAAAAATAACAAAAATATACTACATATATACATTCCTCGTCATTTGAATAGCGCACCCTTTTTTTGATTTTCTACCATACAAATTATGCTTGACAAAATTTTTATATGGAAGAAAATGCGCAGCACAGTCAACAAAAAAATGTCGAACCTATGTTTATTTTTTTAATTTTCAAAAAATTTTTAAATGGGATGTAGATGTAGAATATGATATATTTTTATGAAAAGTTAATGAACATTAAACAAACAAAAGGAAAACTGTACCTACTAAGTATTAAAAGGATGCGCTATTCAAATAACGAAGAGTGTATATTTCTTAATTATTAATCCAATTTTAAACTTTAAACATAAATCACATTTGCTTCATTGGTATTAATCTTTTAGTAATGAATATTTACAAAATTATAATAAGGCATATTACATATTACTTTACACGAAATATGAACCTCTGTAAAGCAAATTTTTTAGGCAAACTTTGGGTCGTTGAACACGAAAAAAATACCCATGGTTTCAAAGAAGTGTTTTCGAGATTTGTTCGAAAAACGTATTTTTAGTACTTTTTCAGTTATTCCTCAATATCTCATGAAACGACCAACAGTTCGAAAGGTATTGATGGGCTCTTTGCAAAAATATATATTTTTTGTGCAGATTGTGTTCCGTAACATCTACATTTCTCATCAGATTTTCATTTACTGTAAAAAGAAAATGATTGAAATTTCAATTTTTCGATTTTGGTCGCTTGTAACACTAACAATTTTCATCGAAATCGGCAAAGTAATATATTTTTGTAAGAGACTGTAGGTCACTTATGTTGATTGGATAATTTTTTCATGAAATATTGATGAATAGGTTCGAAATGTGCCAATAACACATTTTTCAAAAAAATTACGAAAGCGCTTGTTTGAAAGGAAAATTGGCTTGGAAAATATTTTTTTTCTTAAGCGATTACCACAAAATTTGTAGAACAGTGTTATCGATATATTTGATGCTGGTCTTCAATTTCTCGACATCCATTGTCCATAAGCGTACAATATTTAGAACGCATTGACTAGTTGAACCTTCAAAACCAGCTTACCCTTATGTAGTTATCAATTAGTTATCGACACTGCTTTTATTTCGATAGGCAAAAGTTAATTATAAAATATCGAAGAAAATGCCACTTGGAAAAAATCAGTACATTTTGGGGGTTTTCTGTTTTGAAAAACTACGCAGGACAGACCTTTAAATAACAGTACGGTCCTGCAAAAAACAGAACGGATGGTCACCGTATGCATACTACAAGCATCAGGTCGCATGTTCGATCCTCGGATGGAGCGATTGCCAAATAAATTTCGTTTTTATTATTTCTTTTATTTTTTAATTTTATTTTATTTATATATTTAATTTTACTTTATTTTATTTTGGTTCGTTTTCTTTTATTTCACATTTTCACATGAAAACTAATCCATTTTGATTATACATATCTACATATGTACACATGTATTTTTGTAATATGTATTAATAATTTGAGTAAAAGTTAATAGCTTGTCAAATTCTAGCCTCCAAATTCGGCCTCCGTAAAAAAAATAAAATTCAAATTAAATTAAATAACAAGTAATTTTTAAGCAAAAACCAAAACCGACTTAAATTCGCATAATTTAAGATTACCGTTAATTTATTCGTGATACAATGATCGGATATAAACCAAGTTAGTATGCGATTATCTCTTAGGTACTACCTTTCTTATATGTATGCGGTTAACGTAGTCCAAAGTTATGCGGTAACATACACAAATAAAATATTTCGACAAATTGATAACCTCCCCTTTTTCTTAATTCGGTTGTTTGACACCCACATTCAAGTATCTCATTTGGCTTGATTAAATTGATTTTGAATTTTAAATGGGTGGAAACGCCCTTCAAATATCTTTTAGAAATTAAGTTTTCTAAACCCTCTCGTTAATTAAATTCATTTAGAATCTCTAAGCAGGTGGCAACGCTACTTAAAATTTTTTCGAAATAAAGCTTGCTTTAAACCTCTCGTCAGACACCAATATTTCGACTTGTTGTTGATTTTGAATTTTCAAACAGGTGGCAACTCTCTTGAAAAAGATATCATTTAAAGTTCAGATTCTTAATCAAAACCACGAAAATCCCCTATTTGCATGTCCATTAATTAAGTTTAACGTATTCTTATCACCTTTTAGCGACTCCGCCACGCTGTGCATCGTTAGAAATCTTAGCTCGGGTGCACAACGATGAGTTGAGCTAAGTCACGATTTAAATGTACGTGTGTAATTTGGAACAAAAAATAGTGAGTACGAGGCTACACATTACTTAATCGATATTATAAAATGGAAAATTCCTTCTCGACCTAGCGGCATAGACAAAATATCCCCCCGAAAAGTGCATCATTGTGTCCTAGACATCGACTAGAAAGCACTGCAACTAAAGATGACTTGGTGCCTCCACTGCTCTAAATTCGACTGACGAGATCGTTCAGATCGTTAGATTTAGATTTCTTATGAAAAGTTGTTGCATTGTTTGGGACTCATCACATTTTCTGTGACTATTTTGGACTTAGCAAACTTGCGTATCACGGAGTATATACGGTTAGAAATGAAAGAAGTACTTCTACTTGCTTCCTGCATCGAAACATAATTTTTTAGAAAAAGTGGACTTAGCAACTCTTTACTCTTACCTAGCGATATGTATGCAGTTTTGAAAAGTAAAATAAAATAGTTTTGTAAAAGTATCACATTTCGCTGCTTTTGAACTGGTTGGGATCTAGTTACTATCGACGATTGGGTTTCGCTGCAGTAACGATCAACAAAGGCGAATATGCACTTACGAAACTGTATCTGCAATGCATGAAAAAAACAAAACTGGCGCTCAAATGACTCGCATCACATTATTCATAACTAAGTATTTTGGGTGTTACCACTAAATATGTACTCATGCACGTACATACATATGTGTAGGTATCAATCTTCCTCTGCAATCATCGATGCATTCAATTAGCGTGAAAACAATTTGCTCAACTGACATAGTAAGTAAGTAGTTCTTTGAGATTTTTTCTTATCGATTGTAGAGTAAAGTCCAATTCCAATGCCTTGAATTGAGGAGCCTTGCAGCGCTAAACCAAATTGAGTGATTTTCATATACGCCAACTTACTTACTAAATACTCATGCAGTTGCATTGAAGGTGGCGCAGTGGCGCAGGTGGCCGGCAGTGAAAGGTTAATTCGACTTGAATGCGCTGGCATGTAGTAGGTGCTGAGCAGGGCGGTGGCTGACAGGCGTGCAAATACACCAACACCAAATATTAATCTAGTTCTGTTGCACTTATTTATAATACNATACACATGAATTGTTATTATCATAAATTCTGTTGTTGTTGTTGTTGTTGTTGTTATTTTTCCAGCCTAGATATGTACCGGTAATGTTTACCTAGCATTTTTTGAGTGTGTTACAAGACAAGTTTCATTACAATTTAAAGTTTAGCCGGCGCCCGGCATTCTTTCTATCGTCGCTGTCGCTGCCGCTGCTGCTGTTGCTGCTTCTAAATGGGTAACTACTGTTATTGTTGTCATTTTGTTACGTATTTTTTTTCTTTGTTTTTGTATGGAACATTTTGCTGCTGCAATTATTTTGTGCTGCCGCATATGAAGTTCAACCAATTTTTTTGTATAAAAGTTGGCTTAATTTTGTATTCGAAATCAGAATCAATTCAACACTTCCCGAGTGTGCATCAACAGACTAGCAAATCCTTCTTCTTACTACTCAAATCCTTCTTCGCTTTAATCAGCAAACATGAAGGTAATTCGAGCAGTGTTTACATTTGTGAAACCAAAAAGTGTTCAAAATTATAAAATTTGGGAAACAACTTTTTATAAGAAGTTTACTCGAGTATAAAAATATTTGAAAGAAAAATTGGTTTGAATATTTCAACATATACAAAATTATGAAATTAGAACACTATTATTGTATTTAAAAAAGAGTAATTTTTGTATTTCTCTGGACTTTGAAAAAAATAAATAAATTAGGTGTTTTTTTAATTTTTT